TCTTGTATGTGGTATGTGTTTGGATGATGAGAATTATTGATTGAATTGATGTTGAGTGGTATGTAAATCTCATGGCTATGAGAAGTGATTTATTAGTATGTGATGAGTTGATAGAATTTTGGATGAAATATGGAAGGATGGATGTTGAGTGGTGGAGTGTAAATTTCGGCTAGGTTGACTGTTAGCGTAAGGGAGTTTTTGCTCCAATTTTGGTGCCTTGAGAGAGATGTGGAAGTGTAACCAATTTAGTGCTTGATTGTGCATGCAAGGTGTTTGATGAAATTTCAAAGAAAGTGCAAATATATGAGTATGTTAGATTATTACTTTGTTATAGAAATGTTGTTGGTAGAGAATACTAGTTCCATAATGATATCTTTATATGTCATAATGCATTCTTACATTTGAGCATTTGCATTTAGAAAGAATAGCAAAGAATGAGCATATTTACATGTGTGAGAAAATTAAAGGATAAAGAGAAAGAAAGAAAAGAAATTAATTGTAGAATCATTATCAAAAGAATATAATTAAAGAATAGTTCAAATCTGAAAATTTATTTAAAGAAATGTAAAAAGAGAAGAGAAGAGAATGTTGTTGCGATGGAGAACCCGTGAGTGACAGAGAAGAAGAATAGCCCCGCATGCATGCCGCCTTTAGTAAGTGGCCTAAGAATAAGAAAGAAGGATTTGTATAGTCCGTAAGAAGTGCATGTGGATGAGGACTGTACCCAAGAAAGAATTTAAGAATACACACACAGCCAAGGTTCCGAATCCATGCCTCAACCAAGTCCGGTCGGCAAAGAAAAGAATAGAAAAGAAAAGAAAGAAAAGAATAGAAAAGAAAAGAAAAGAAAGAATATAAAAGAAAAGAAAAGAAAGAAAGAAGAGACACGGAAAAAGAAAGAAAACAGAAAACAAATGAGAATAAGAAAACAGAAAAGAAAATGTATTGCTTAGAAAAGTTTAAACATTTGTGTATATGCATCATGCCATTTCTACTATTCCGAGTTAGTTTTCCTATTTGTGCTTACATATCGGTAAGTGAGAAACTAGAATCTTAGAAAGAGCAGAGAAGAATTGAGAAGTTTGGTGCAAGGAAAGAAAATCCAAAATCGGAGTAACGGAGAAAGAATAGAAGTATTGTGGGTTTATTTACTGAACAATTAGTGCTCACTCCGTTGATTTCATTGTTTTTGCATGTAGTAGATGAGATGCGGTCGGATGGAACGTCAAGTAGCAGAGGAGAAAGGCAACACTGTCTGACTGTATTTTTGAGTTATTTTTGTGACTTGTTACTTGATGTAGAGATTTGAAAGAAAAATTAGTTGTGGGCTCTCTATTTCATAGTTATATATATATTTTCTATAATATGTTTAGTGAGTTTTACTAATATTTTTCCAAGGAACTACTTGCTAGAAAGAATATTACAACTTTCAATAGGGTCGTTCAACACTATGATAGTCTTACCATATTATCTGTGTCCTGGTCAGAATAATACTGGGCCTACAGACGTTTCTAGAATGGCCACCATATGTGATCATAGGGTTCTCACTATCAAGATTTGAAACACTTGATACCCTCATCACGGTTCTACCATCTTAAGAACATATATCAATACATATAATATGATTTACGTGATATAGTAGAATATGCCTTTTATTGATAAATAAACATTTATTACAGAGTCAATTTTACAATAATTGATTGGCTCTAAGACACCTACTCTAACAGCAACACTTCGCCGAGTCATAGACCTAGTACAGCTCCATCAGGTCATTGAAATTGTCAAAGTGGTCTCTGGGGTCTCCTCTCCCGTCGAACTTACTCTCGGACACCCTGAATCCCTACGAAAATGGGGCCTAGCGAACCTCTTCTATGAAGGGGGAACTCACTATTTCTTCCACTACACCGTTCTGGCGGGCCCTTAGATCATCAAGCATTTTTTGCACGCGATCCAAATCTTCATTGTGGTTACCCTGGCTGACTCTATTCAACCTTACTTCGAGCAAGTGAGTTCACAAGTTCGTGGCTTGCGAAGCCCCTTCATTGCGCACATTGATGCGCGAAGTCAAGTCATGATGGCTAGGTTTATAGGTGTTATCATGCTCATCGGTGCATTGCTCGCGACGTCAGTTATAATCGAAATGTCGGTCATTGCTGGATTGGCGCACATGACTCGCCTCACAAGCTTGCGAGGATTGAGCCTACCTCAGGCGTGGGTTAAGACTAGCACGCTGACGTTGGGGTCTGAGCATCTTAGCGTTGACTGTTGCCTTCGCTCTCACCCAATGGTTGTTTCCTTTGCCGCCTCCCAGGGTTAGTCTGCCCATGGGATTCACGCTCGTGAGCAGAACGGAGTTTATGACAAAGAGGATACCAGTCGCCTCTCAATGTCAATGAACCAGACTGGCCACTGTTGAATTTATACATGTTAGAGAGGCATTGGCGAAGCGTGGCTGGTCGAGGTTCTAGGCAGTTGGTTGTTGATTTCTCAACTCAGCCACGTTTTGTTGCACCGTTGTGCAACCATTGTTCTGATCATCTCCACCAGTTGGCCGTTTTCGGGGTTGGACGTCCCTGGCCCCTGGTTATTCATGACATGCTGAGTTAGCGGCACAGGTGGTCAATGTCCAGTGGCGTCTTGCTGCACCTCCTAATGGGTGGTTTCCACATTTTCGTGGTTTCCAGTGGTGGTCTTCGATCTGGTACACACCATTGTGAGCCTGGATTGAGTTGGTTACTGTGGCTATTTGCCATAATTTCTTAGATGTACGCGAAGGCCCTCTTTTTATTGCCAAAACATTGATACGAAAATTCACACCAACTAGAGAGATCCGATTGACCTTGGTGGAATCGGAATGGATGTGGGCGTGATTACGGATAATCAGCGGTGGAAGAATAATAAAATGCAATAAAGTAAGTAACAATGAGATTTTTAAAGTGGTTCGGCAAGGTAAACTCTCGAGCCTACGTCCACTGTTCTTGTATTTGTTGTGAGAGCTTACAACAACAGTTCTATGGAAAATTTCTAACCCCTTTTTCATCATTTGAGAGGGTTTATATACAATATTTGTACAAAGGAAAGAGCGAAAATAAAGGGATTACAATTGATTTGAAATGTAACTTCGATATTCTCGCGATTGGGCGTTGTGATTGCATAGAGATTGCTATTAATCTGATCATTCCCGTAATATTTAGGATCTGAAGTTATTTGGGAATCGATTAAATGATCATTCAAATTGTTTGCGACTAGCTTGTGTTGGGCCGAGCAATATGTCAATGAGCTTATGTTGGGTCGGACAACCAGTAGAGTCGAACTGATTCTGAGTCGATCTAATACCTCGCAACTCACCGAGCTTGATGGAAAAATCACACACAACAGTCAAAGAATAATAAAATAACAGTGGATGTAGGATTCTCCTTAAGCATCTCGACCACTATAAAAAATCACTCTTGTCAACTTTTATTTATGTTTCTTCAAATATATATCATCTCAACACCATAATCAACTTTCATAATCATATCACGTGTAATTTCTAAGATCTTCTTAACACTTTACATATGTAAGGTAATTGATGTCAAAATCACGCATCATCATTAATTAAAGAATCTCTTTGAAAAACGGGGATTGCGAATGAGAGCCCATATATATATATATATAAGCTTTTATTTTTCAAATTTTTCATCTTTCAAATTTTTTTACCAAAGCCTCTTGTAAATTGACCTTTTCGCATGAAGTTTGAGACGCTGGCTGTAAAATAAAAAAATTATCCACAACTTGGAAAACGGTAGCCGAATTACCTAACAAAAGTCGAGCTTTACTTTCAGCAGCCAATCGTTTTATGCCACGAAAAAAACATGTTAGAAAACAGACAAAATCAGGTGATAGACCGAGATTCTCCAACATACAAAATTATATACGACTTTAAATCGTGTTTTTTTCATAACATAAACGACTAAACTTCAGCCTGGTGCCCACAACCGTCCTCTTTTTTCTTCTTTTCTGATTAACATGGAGTTGTCTTCCAAATATTGATAACTTTTTGGAACCAATTAATTCTTATTCAGGACCGACTCGTCAAATAGCTTTTGCTTTTTTTAGATGAATAGTTTGTTTATTTTGACTCAAGTTTTAACTTTTTCATATAAATTGTTAAAAATAAAAAATAAAACACTTTTTCATTAAGATTGGAGCTGAAAATTATGTTTCAAAAACCTTCAATGAAATTTGCATTTGAAGATTATTTTATATTTTCTATGTTTGAAAATAGTTAAATAGCTTTTGCTTTCTTTAGATTAATAGTTTGTAAATTTTGACTGAACTTTTACCTTTTTCAGATAAATTATATATAAAAAAAAAATTCATTAACAATGAATGTGAAAATTATGTTTCAAAAACCTTCAATGAATTTTACATTTTAAGATTCTTTATATTTCTTTTGTTTGAAAATAACTATTCGAAATTAAGATTCAAATACATCCATATAATAATTAAATTAAATCATGTATTTTTTTTTAGCACTTTGTGTAAATTAAACGCAATTTAAGTAAAAACAATGATTTTCTTTTGGCCTAAGTAATAAATTGGGGTTTACAAATAAATAGAAAAAAATGTCAATGTATTAAAATTTAAAGTAATTACAACTTCTTTTGTACAAAAATAGTATTTGAAAATATTTTTCACTAACAAAATATTTATTTTTTTGTTTAAATATTTGAAATACTTTTTATAAAATTTATATATTGAAATTAAATAGAATATGTTATTCCTAAAAAATATATATTTTTGGGTTCGATTCAATTACCTTTCGATCCTGTCTAAAGCCTTCAAAGTGCTGTTGATGAGTTTAAATGTCAACTTATAACACACGTGATTTTAAGGAGAGAAAAACTCCACGTGGAAGACGTGGAGAACAGTTGTAGAAAAGAAAACACGTTTTTCTTATGTTGAAAATTCAATATATTCCTCACTAGTGTAATTTTTCCTCGCGTCGCTTGCAACTCCGTTCTTTATGAAGAGACACAGCACAACGCCACAACCACCTCTCTCTCTCACGTTAATGGATAACAAAGACCACCATTCGTCATCTTCAACCCTCAAGAATCCACACCCACTATGCAATTTAGACACCGAGTCCTCACAAATCCACGTACAAACCGCCGCCCTGAAGCGAAAGGCCGGGCGAAAGAAGTTTCAGGAGACACGTCATCCCGTTTACAAAGGCGTTCGGCGTAGAAATGGAAAGTGGGTGTGCGAGCTTCGCGAGCCAAACAAGAAGACTCGTATATGGCTGGGGACTTTCTCACGCCCTGAAATGGCGGCTAGGGCTCATGATGCTGCAGTTTTGGCTCTTAGAGGTGAATCTGCTTTCTTAAATTTCCCAGAGACTGCACGTGCGTTGCCACGTGCAAAGTCAGACAACATTCAGGATATTCAATATGCTGCAATGGAGGCTGCGGGAGCATATGGTAATGAGAAGTCGTATTGTTCTTCATCTTCGTCATCATCGTGCGTGATGGAGAATTCTGAGGTTTATGTTGATGAAGAAGAGGTGTTTAATATGCCTGGTATAATTGATGGCATGGCGGAAGCTCTGATTCTTACACCGCCAGCTTTGAAGAAAGGGTTCAAATGGGATGATGTGGAGGATACTGTGGACTTGACTTTGTGGAGTGATTAATTCTGAAATGTTTTTGTGTTGACTTCAAACCCTATTTTGATGGTTATAACAATTATTATAGATGATTGTAAAAATAGTCTGAATGGACTACATCAATTACTCCAAGAACATCTTTATATGGGTCAATTTATATTTACACGCGTAGGTGAGTAATTGTAAAGAGCAACTATATTGAAATTTTAGTAAGCCTAATTAAGATCCAAAATGTCAATAAACAGGTGAAAAATCATATCTATCTATCTATCTATCTAATTAGGTTTAATTAAAAGAGTATATTTAACTTTGAAACATACATATATTTGGACCATTGCTTTTTTGTTGATATATATTTAAGAAAAACAACCTATGTTTTAACCGGTTCCAGCAAAACAAGCGCTCACCAAAAAATTAAACAGGTGACCAACCAGCCGGCCAATGAACGGCTATATTAAATAATTGTAATTTTAACCGGTGTGCTCATAACAGATGCACCTTTCAATTAATTAGGTGTGCCATTAACATAAAAAATAGAAATAACATGTACAGAGGGCTATTAAAAGAGTTAAAATAAAATATAAAATATAGTCGATTGCAATTCAGAGCCATAAGGTTTCATCATGAGTTCATGAACTGTGCCTCTTAGTCTTTGCGTTAAATTTTGTCCAACCTTGAGTTGTATTATTAGTTCATCTTTAAAGTCAGGGTTCAAAAAGATCCCTCCGCTCTTTGTTGACTGTCACATAGGAGTTATTTTCTAACCTACAAGAGTGATATTTGCCCCCTCAATTACAATATGCAATGAGGACCATAGTTTAAAACTTGGCTGGTTCAACCGGTTGAATTGGGACCCGTGATCAAGCTAGGTCAGTTCGACTAAAAAACCGGAATTTGCAAATAACCCAGTTTGAACCACGTTGGACCGGTTTTTTGTTACAAACCATCGGTCCAACCGATCGCCCTAGCAGTTGAACCGTTTTTTTATATTTTTTTATATGTTATGTTGATGTCAGAATGACGTCTCACGCTGACATCACGGTTCGATCGGCCAACTCGGTGACCTCCCGGTCACTCCCCGAGTCGGGTTTCAAAACCTTGATGAGACGATTGCTTGCTAACCACAAAACAGTTCACACATGTTTGACAATTTAAAAAGAAGCCAAGTAAGAACTTGATATTTTAACGCCCAACAGGGGTACATGATTTAAATCATGTTTTATACCCTAGTTATTTTTATTAAAGTTATTTTAAGAGAATATGAAGAAAATGCCTTAAACTTGTATTAAGGGTAAATGGTCTTTCACTCAAAATTAGTTGAAAAAGTGGGAGTGAAAAGGGGTAGAATTTCATAAAGAATACAATAAAATGAGGGCATTATGTAATTGACTATAGGACAATGATGGAATTTTTAAAAAGTATAGGGCAAAATGGCAAAGTGAGTTTATAAATAAGATGATAAGGGTTTGAAACCCTTATTTCCTTCATCCCACCGCCACACTATGTTAGTAACGGTCCCGTATACGCAGCGGAAACAAAAAAATAATAAACAGGATCTTTACATGAGCCAAGATCAGGGTATGATTTTACAATTTATATTAAATAACTCTGCATAAATATTCAACATGGTTAAGAGAAACAAACGCACGTTGAAGGCTCCTCCAATTGTCGACGAACATTTTGCTACCGATCCAAGTGTAGGATCGAACCTGCGTAGTCCACACGAAGACAATCTTAAAAGAACCAAAGAAGGATTTGCTAGATCCTCTTTGGCTTCAAGATAAGAAGAAGACAAATCAATTGAATTGATTTTAGGCAATGGTGTTACTGCCGTGGGAGAGGCAAAAATTGGGACTGCTGTGTGTTTTGTTTTACAAAGAAAAATTCATTCATTCAATCACACACCACACTTTTCCTTTTATATTTAAAACAATTTGCCCTAATCCCATACGGAATGCTTGGGCTCCAACCCAAACGCCCCATGTTGCCAAACACTCCAATTTGATTTATTTTAATTTCCATCATTATCTCAATATAAATCATTAATATATATTTTAAATATATATTTAAATAATATTAACATTAACAATATGATAATATTTAAATATGTGCGAACACACATTTAAACGTAATTCACTTATTTAATTTTTCTAACAAATTAAATAAGGCTACGACCTCAGCAAATTTAATTGCACTGTGAAATTACCAAAATACCCTTTCGCCTAAAAGCGAAAACGCCCTTCTTTCTTCTTGCATCTTAAATTGTCTTCTATGTGTGTGACCCTTAGGCTCCTCATCATATCGGCAGTGTATAGTATTGCGATTAACACCATTAATCGTCTCCTAATACACAACCAAGATTGGCCCTAGCAAGGCATCATGGCCACCCGATAGATTCGGATTCAGCAGTAGCTACTTCAACGATATGGTTACCGTGCAATCGTCCTTTCATCATACGTTATCTCGACGAACGAAGCATAGAAATAGTGTCAACCTTCGGTTACTCTCGATATTATTTATTCAGTTTCTGGACCAATGACCCGTATTACTGGATAGAGCAACAACTCAATCCCACTGTGGCCACAGTTTAGTCATTGCCATATACTGAATTGCGCCGTGAGATAACTTCTCCCTACCCGGGTGATAAATCCTCTGTCAATCCACCATAGTCTGTATACACTCCTTGTGCATGCCAATCACCACCGTATTGACACTCTGAAAGAACTGTGTTAGGCAGTGTCAAACTACACCAATCGGTGCACAGGCGCTCCGGTGATCTCATTCTAGGATCACATTTACCACCATTCGTGTAGAGGATTTGTTCCATAGACACTGGGTTACCATCCATATGGAATCCTCTGGTGGGTCAGTCCAGTGAACTTGCTGTGGTGTAATCGCCTACAACAAACACCCATGTGTTCACCAGGTTGTCACCAAACAACCTTGACAAGTGAGATCAGTCACTGCCTTTCGACAGGGTCGTTCAACACTATGATAGCCTACCGTATTATCTGTGCCCTTAGTCAGAATATTTGGGGCTACGGACTTCTAGAATGCCACCATATGTGCTCATAGGGTTCTCACTATCAAGATTGAAACACTTGATACCCTCGTCACGGCTCTACCATTCTAAGACATATATCAATACATATTGCAATAATAATGATTTACGCGATATAGAATAAAATGCCTTTTATTGATTAATGAACATTATTACAAAGAGTCAATTCTACAATAATTGATTGGCTCTAGGGCATCTACCTAACACACTACTCCCCCATTTTCTCTCAAATTTTCATTCAATACTCCAAGGATTTTGAGGGCTTTTGAGTGATTTTTATAGAGTTTGATTCAAGAATTCAAAAGGTAAGAATTCATGCTCTTTATCTAGGATTGATTTATGTAAAAGTTTGGTTCTTATGAGTTTATGCTAGGGTTAGAAGAAGTTTTGAATCCAACAAGAGTAAGAGCTTGTAGAGAAGACTCAAGCATAGGTAAGTAAATTCCACTCAAAATCCAACCAAGTAAAGTTTAAGAATTCAAGTGAGTAAAGATTTCTTTTAAGTATGAATATGTTATGGTTATTGAGAAATTGAGATAGATTGATGAGAATTATGCTTGTTGTTAGATATATTGAATATGAGAAGTGTATGTAATGGTTTGATGATGAGTTGTGTTGTTTTGAATGAGTTCAATGTTGATTTTATGGAGAGATTTCACCATGAGAAGGGTGGATTGTGTTGATAAATTTGATAGAAGTATGGATAGCTTTAGAAGAATTTGAGAGGAATATTTGAAGTGTGTTTTCTTTGCAGGATGTTGATGATTTAAGGAGTTGAACTCCAATTTTGAATGGTTAAGAAAGAAGTAGAATTATTAAAATAGAGTTTATATATGCACACATATGGTTTGATGAAATACCTAAGTGAAAGCCTAAGTGAAAACTGCCCTGTCACAGCCATGACCTTCTGAGTGATTTTTGGGCATCTTACAGATTTAACTGGATTGAGACCAAACATAAAGGCTGTAGCCCTGTCTCTAAGCTTTAAAACGAGACCAAACCAGCAATCCAATGTGTATAACTCAAGTTATGCCCTCTGAGTGTAACCTGTGCAAAATACTATCTTGATGCAACATTGCATTTGTGCATTTCATAGTGCCTTAAGTAAGAAATTTTAAGCGTGAACCATCCTTATACATTAATTGTGCATTGAGAAGTAGCTTGAGAAAGAGTAGAAACTTTGTGAATGACTACTCTAAGAGTAGAGAGAATGAGAAAAACACAAAGAGCGGGTTGGTGCTTTGTGAACTCCACCCCGCATGCCTCCGGTAAGATGATGCCATGACATTCAAGTAAGAAAGAATAAAGAGAGATGAGTAGAGTCACGAAGAGCGAATTGGTGCTTTGTGAACTCCACCCGGCCGTGCCTCGGGTAAGATGAGGTCGTGACTTACAATAGAAATTAATAAAAGAGAGCTGTGTGAAAGAGAAACAGAACAGAAAATGAATGAGACGAAAGTGTGTAGGAAAGAATTAAGAAAAAGAGTTACGGGGACAACGAGTAGAGGATTTACTTATGAGCATTATTTTTGTCACCCCGTTGTTTTTCTTTGTGTTTACAGGATCAAGGTGAGGACGCGTCGGATTGGCATCGGGAAGCGAGGAGCATAGCTACATTGTCCACTTTTTTTGATAACTTTTTGTAAAATGATATCTATTTGGTAATAAGAATGTTTATATGTACTAAAGAAAATTTTGGGCCCATCTATTTTTGTTGATATAAATGTATTTTACTTTATGTATTTCTATGAGTATCCTGTATAAGGAGTTTATAATTTTTTGGTATCAGCAAGAGATTTGGGATTTGACAGTGTACATTCTCATGGCCCCGATGTCCGATAACCGACTGTGTGATTAATTCTTTCCTTACTATAAGTGTTTCTCGAATTGATTAAATGTGGTTGTTTTATAGATGAGGCGTAGTAACCGAAAGCTGGTAAGGGTGTGATGAATGAGGGAGAACCTTCTAACCACCAGAAGCTACGCCCCCTCCCTTGGATGAAGCTGAGTTCGGGGTTTTACACCAAGTTATGGCAGAGAGCCAAGGGAGAGTTGGAACCCCCGTGCAGGTACCACCACCACTACTGTAAAGAGAACCACAGTACCCCCCCAGTACAGAATAGAATTGAACCAATTTATGATCTTCCCATCACATCAACTGTCGAGTTTAAGGGTACTACGACCCGGTAGCAGCAGAGGAATGGTTTAAGTCCGTAGAACATATAA